CATTGAGCCAAGATTGCACTACTCCAGCCTGGGTGACAGAGCAAGGCTCCGTCTCAAAAAAAAAATAGTAAAGAATTATTTTAGTATTTTAACAACCTTCTTCTGCAGCATTCCAGCATTCCATCTGAATATCACCTTACTCTTGCACAGTGGCACTCTCGGCCATGTACACACACACACACACACACGAGTGATTCACTGGCCAAAGCAAACCAGACCCATCCCAGAGAATCTTACATAGGTTCGCATATCTACATATCCCTGTATGCACATTTATATGTATGTATGTGTGTATCACTCACCAGAAACTTTGGCCTCTGAAAAATTTTTCATTTCCAATTCTCCTAAGTAAACAGAGGCCAGCCATGATTCTGACTTTAGTCCTTACTGCAATTCTCCATGGGCTTTCACAAGAATAAGTAATGTCCTGAATTGTGCTGGTTATTCTCCTATAGTCTCTCAGCTGCATGCTGACACTTTCACTTTGGTCCGTAATGCTGGAGACTGGAAATCTGAAAACTGTTTCCCAAACTCCTTTGCCAATTAGCTTCCTGCAAATAGGAGGCACTAGAGGAAATCAGCCGGTCGCAGGAAGGGAAGGGTGCTGTGTTGCCGCTCTCATTCTCTCTCCCCGTCCACTCCCTCCCTTTTCTTTTTCTGGCAATGTCTCTGGAAGAATCTTTAGTCTCTCCTCCGAAGCTCAGCTCTGGAGTGGCAGCTCTCCTCTACTGTCCTAAGTGGCAGTACCATCACCTCCTCCTTTCTGTGACCCTAGGCACAGGAGCAGCAGCTGCTTTCTAAAGTTAATAATCTGTGGTTTATCTCATTTTCCCTCTTCTTGCCTTCCAACATATTTCCTGTATTAAATTCCCTGTTTAAACTATCTAGTGTGCTTTTGCTTTCCTGGCTAATATTACAGTATTTCCAAAATTGGTATAAACTCACTGCTTGAATCTATTTCTACTGAGTCAATGAAATGGAATACTTTAGTAGGCTGATTTGAAAATGGTCTGATGCCTAACCAGTAGGCTTTCCCGCATGTTGATGGGGGTTCAAATAATGGGCATTTTATTTTTTCTTGCTGTTTTCCAAAACTACAGGATTGTTGTTCAGAAATGCTTTGCTGAGTACCTCAGCTTATCTTGTCATCCTTAAAGAAAAAAAATTCTGATTCTTTGCAAATTTACCTCTTAATTCTGTCTCATTTGCTTGTATTTCCACGAGCCCAACTTCAATTTTCAACATTTCTCCTTGACCTTCGTCTGATCCATCACCTAATCTCGCTCTTCTTTCCTTCTGCATTCGTGCCTGATGAATCATGTCTCCACCTGTCTCAAGTGCAGCATGCTGTTTTTCATTTGTAACAGCCTCTCATGCTTAGAGCTCATATTACCAGAAATTTCTCATAGGTTCTATAGCAGTCCTTATCTACATGTTTCTTTTTTTAATTGCATTTTAGGTTTTGGAGTACATGTGAAGAACATGCAAGATTGTTGCATAGGAACACACATGACAGCGTGATTTGCTGCCTTCCTCCCCTTCACCTATATCTGGCGTTTCTCCCCAGTTATGTCTCCCCAACTCCCCACCCCCAGCTGTCCCTCCCCTATTTCCCCCCAACATCTACATGTTTCTTAACACTGAAAACACAGTCCCATTGTGTACCAGGGATACTTTAGTCCTTTTGCTATTGCCTTCAGTGACAATATTACAATCATATCATCCTTTACCTATTTTTAGGGTGGGTTTTATTCATTTTCTCTATTAGTGATATGATTTGGCTCTGTGGGAAGCACAGGAGTAGCACACCTGTTACTCCTGTGCCTAGGGTCACAGAAGGGAGGAGGTGATAGTACCATCACTTAGGAGAGTAGAGAAGACTGTCACTCAGAAAAAGAAAAGGGCATGGGTAGAGGGAGAGAGAAAGTGAGAGAGCGGAAACACAGTACCCAAATCTCATCTCGAATTATAATCCCTCTGTTTCGAGGGAGGGGTCTGTAATCCCCATATGTCAAGGGAAGAAGGTGATTGAATCATGGGGACAGTTTCCCCCATGCTGTTCTCGTGATAGTGAGTTCTCATGAGATCTGATGGTTTTAAAAGTAGCAGTTTTTTCCTGAACTCTCACTCTTCCCTCCTGCCACCTTCTGAAGAAGGTGCCTGTTTCCCCTTTGCTTTCCGCCATGATTGTAAGTTTCCTGAGGCCTCCCTAGCCGTGTGGAACTATGAGTCAATTAAACCTCTTTCCTCTATAAATTATCCAGTCTCGGGTATTTCTTTATAGCAGCATGAAAATGGACTGATACAATCAGTTTCTGAATACAAATGTCTTTTTATTTCATGTAACCTGGAATTTATCCACTGCCAGTTTTTTAAACTTTTATAACTCTTGGGTGTAATTGTGTCTGCTTTGGCAATGAGTCAGATGAAAGCCATTTCTTCACAGAAGTGATTAAAAATCTTGACGTGTAATGGCTTCAGTTGGGGCCCCAGAGAAACAAAGAAGCATACCCGATATGACATCCTGTTTGTCATCTGGTTTCTTTTCACAAAACGTATTGCATTCAATGGGTCCTGCATTCAATGTGGGGCTCTGAACCCAGACAGCAACAGACTGCCAACAAAACTTGATTAAATACTGTGAGTAAACCTTAAGTGCTACCTTACTCGATTAAAGCTTGAGACTGCTCCATCTGTATAGCCTTTTAAATCAATTTGAGGGACCTAAACACTGCATGAGTTAATTCATGAGGACTTTTCTAAACCAAAATAGTCCACTATCATAAGTGTGAGTTGAAGATGTCACAGCTAACACTTATATTTGTGCTGACTGTATGTTAGGGATGGTTCTAAAACACTTTAAATGTGTTAATTTATTTGATCCTCCCAGAAATCCTATATGGGAGGCATTAGTATCACCTTCATTCTTCAGATAAAGAAAGGCACAGAGAGGATACATAACGTACCCTAGGTAACACTGTAGTACATGGTAGACTGGGGTTTTTACTCCAGGCACTTTGACTTCAGGGTCCTTAGTTATAACTTCTACACCAAACTGTCTCTCAAACCTTGTCATCCACACCCTGACTCAGCATATGTACCAATCATATGGAGTTATCCATGTTCTCCTGCTAAGGTACTTTGTGCACTGGTGATGCTCTTCTTAGTAGCAATACCAGTTTAACCTGTGGTTTACCTCATTTTCCCTTTTCTTGCCTTCCAACCTATTTCCTGTATTAAATTTCCTGTTTAAAATACCTAGTGTGCTTTTTACTTTCCTGGCTGATATAGTGATATTTTCAAAATTGGTAGAAATTCACGCTTGAGTCTATTTCCATTAAGGATCAATGAAATGGAGTATTTTATAAGGCAGATTTGAAAATGGACCACAAATGACGATATTGATCTGCAGAGCTACCCGTTATAGGGAGTAGGCTGTAATCTGTGCCAGAGTATTATGTCAGGTGTTTTTACATGTATGTAAGCTCATCTAATCTTCCCAACAATACTAAGACTTGGTTATTATTTCCAGTAGGCAGATAAGTAAAGGGAGGCTAACTGAAGTTAAGTAACCTACACAGGATGAAACAACTAGTAAGTGAAAGAAGCAGAATTCAAACCCAGGCCCATGACACTAGAACCTGTACCCTTAACTGTTTGATAGCATGGCCTTCCCTCTGCTCTTCTTCCTACAGCTCTCGTCACATTGCCCCCACCAAGTCTCCACCCTGACTCCTCTGTTCCTCCAGCACAGCTGCCTAAAAAGGACCCTTAAGAACCCCTTTTCTGATTACAAGCAGAGCTTCCTGATCCCAGATTTCAGTCCTGACTCTGAAACTCTGTGTGGAACTGAGGAGATAACTTAAATTATTTGAGTCTCTCTATCCTTTTCTGCAAAGTGGGAATGAACATCATCTATTTCACAGAATCACTGAAGGAATTAAAAGATAATGAACATGAATATGTCAAGTGCTTCAATATTTTCAGTTATGATAATAAAATGGGGTTTTCAGCATCATCAAAACAGTGCATAATAAGACAGACTGTCTGGGTTTTAGGATGCTATGAGGCATAATTATTTGCTTCCAGATCAACTGGATCAATATTTTGGAAGGCTGTATCTTAGAGCCCAATGGAGGAAGACTCTAATTAATGCTTTCTCTCACTTTTGAATGTTCCTGTAAAATTCTGATGGTCATCTACAAAGCTGGGATTGCTTTCAGATATGCCACTTGTTGAACCACAATTTCAGGAAAGAGCTATACCTCAGAACTATAGGTACTTAAAGAATTACAAAAGACTATGTTTTCAAGAAAATCTAGTGAATGGTAAAAACGTTTTTTTAATGAGGAAGAAAAATCATTTATCAGAATTATTTGTAGGAGAGGAAATAACAGTGGTTGTGATTAGAAAGGCCTGTAATTAATAGACCTCCTGGAAAATACATGTCCCAAAATATTGGAATAAAAAAGAATTATGGCTATTTTTCATCAGTAACTTACTGCAAATACACAGTCCAATTCACAATAAATTATACAGTCATATGTATATGCACTTAATTTTCCAAAACACTCATAAAGTTCAATGAAGTTAACTCTCAGCAGGCAGATTTATTATTATTCATTTAATATGAATGAAGTAAATAAAAAGTGTTTAACAACAAACATGATGCATTTGCCATTAGAACATGCCCACTAATTGTAAAATACTCAAATTGCTTAATTCTTTCTTTTATGATCAAATTAGGCCAAACCCAAGTCCACTTTGTTTTATGGTACCCACTTAGCTACACATCATTTCTGCCACTTCCTTTATTTTGAATCTGCCCTAAATCTTGTGATCTCTCTGGCATATTCAGGCTCCTATCTAGCCAAAGAATTAATCAAATGTTGGTGTTTTCTGGCATCACCAGTTTTAATTGCTTGGACTTGGGTTAGTTGAAAGGCACAAGGCCAGTAAAACTTGCCAGAAAAAAAAAGTACGGTAAATTTAGCACTTACTGTTTTGAGGTCTTCATTAACATGGGTGTCATTCATTATAAACTCTGGATAGCCAACTTTTGCCAAAACAGCTCTCGCCTATAAAAAGGAAAAAGAAAAATAATGTCAGAGTTTCAGCACTTAAATCATTAATAATCACAAGATGTAGGAATGTGCCCTTCATCTGAAAACTCCATTTACCTGAATATATACTATGTGCAAGCCACAATGAAGGGCAAAAATATATAGATATATATTGAGAGACCTCAGTATACTAAAAATGTAGTGAATGTAGCAAATAACTGTCTAGCACAATGTAAACAAAATAAAAATTTTAATAGAACTAGACAATATTGTTATCAACCTCCAAAGCAGAGACTATTTCTTCACGGAGAAAGCGCTTAATGGAGAAGGTGACTGAATCATGTCTTAGAGAATGGTTAGGATTTCAAAATGTAGAGCTGGAAGAACATTTCAGGGGAAGAAATGGGACAAAGACGGGGCAAATATATATGCAAACCATATATCTGATAAAGGGTTAATATCCAAAATATATTTAAAACTGAACTCAATAACAAGAAAGCAAATAACCTGGTTAAAAAATGGGGAAAGGAGACTGGACACACTTGTTCATGCCTGTAATCCCAGAGCTTTGGGAGGCTGAAGCAGGAGGACTGCTTGAAGCCAGGAATTCAAGACCAGCCTGGGCAACACGGCGGGACTCTGTCTCTACAAAAATAAAAATTAAAAAAAAGTAAGCTAGGCATGGTGGCACATGCCTGTAGTTCCAATTACTTGGGAGGCTAAGGCAGGAGGATCACTCTACCTGGGAGGTAGAGGCTGCAGTGAACTATGATCACGCCACTGCACTGCAGCCTGGGTGACAGAACAAGACCCTGTCTCAAAAAAAAAAATTAAAAAGGGAAAATAATGAGAAAATACATTTCTTAAAAGAAGACATACAAATGGTCAACGGGTATTTTTTTTAATGATCCACATCATTACTCATCAGGGAAATAAAAATTAAAAACACAATGAGATATTACCTATCACCAGTTGGAATGGCTATTATCGCCAAGACAAGACATAAGAAGTGTTGGCAAGGATGTGGAGAAAAGGGAACTCTTGTGCACTGCTGATAGCAAAATAATTTGGTACAGTCAATATGAAAAACACTATGGAGTTTCCTCTAAAAAGTAAAAATATAACTACCATATGAAGCAGTAATCCTACTTCTGGGTATATATCCAAAGGAAATGAAATCAGTATGCTAAAGAGATATCAGTGCCTCCATATTCATGGAAGCACTATTCAAAATAGCCAAGATATGGAATTAACCCAAATGTCTAACAACAGAGGAATGGATTAAAAATGTAGTATCTATACACAATGGAATACTATTCAGCTTTTAAAAAGGAGAAACTCCTGTCATTTGTGACAACGTGGATGAACCTGAAGGACTTCATGCTAAGTGAAATAAGCCAGGCACAGAAAGGCAAATACTACATGATCTCATTCATGTGGAATTTTAAACAGTCAAACTCATAGAAGGAGAGAGTAGGATGGTGGTTACCAGGGGTGGAGGAATGGGGCTGCGGAGTTGGTCAAAAGACAACAAAATTTCAGTTACATAAGAGGAATAAGTTTAGGAGATGTATTGTACAACATAGTGACTACACTTCATAACAATGTACTGCACACTTGAAAATGGCTAAAGGAGTAGATTTTAAATGTTCTTAGCACAAACATGATAAACATATGAGGTGATGGATATGTTAATAGGCCCATTCTCTTATATATACATGTATCAAAACATGTTGTACATCATATATATAATTTTGTCAGTTTAAATATATTAAAAGAAAACTACAAGGAGACAGGAGACACACATGATATGGCATATTGGAGAGAGGGCGAGTAATTTAATGTAGCTGGACTATAAGTACATGAGGATAGAGAGGAGAAAATAATGCCGGAAAACTGGCCTGGGGTCAGATCACAGGGGTTCCTGAATGCCACGCAACAAACGTATATTTTATTTTACAGCCAAGAGAGAGGTAAATATGTTTAGCATGGGAATAAAAGGAGATGAGTCATGCCTCAGGAAGATTACCTTTGCAACATTGTGAAAGATGGCCAGGATGCCAGAAAGATGAGAGGCAGTGGTCTAAAATAATTCAAGATCCAGCATAATGTCATAACTATCATTTAGATAGACAATGGTACAAATTATCCTGTATGCTTTATAACAGAGAGGGAATAAATAAAGGAAAAATAAACTTAGGCACATATAAGGAACCTCAAGAGCAGAGATTGGCAAAATATGTTCCCTGGGCCAAACCCAGCCACCCTACCCCTGTTTTTATAAATAAGGTTTCATTGGAACATAGCCACACTCATTCATTAATCTGTCATCTATGGCTAGTTCTGCATTACAGTTGTGGAGCTGAATAATTGGGTCAGACACCTTGGGGCCCACAAAGCCTCAAATGTTTTATCTGGCCGTTTCTAGAAAAAGTTTGTCAATCCTTGTTTTAGAGAAACTTTACAGTTCCGTGTGAAAATTTCTCTTTCCCTTCCCCAGATTCTGAGTTTCATAAAAGCAAAAGAGAAGTTTACAACTACATTTTAAGCACATTGTCAGGGATTTGATCAGGTCCCCTGGGATCCCTTTTATAACTTCTGTACATCCCTCTAGCATCTATGTTTTTTCTTTTCTAACGGCCAAAACCTGAAACTTTTTGAAGGCCACCCCTTTCTGTCTTGCTTCTCCCATTCCTTTACTGGTTTCTCTTGGGAGTACTCATTTAATAAATCACTTACACAGGAATTCTCATTTCCAGATCTGCCTCCAGATGACCCAACCTAAGACCAAGGCAACCCCAAACGGGTTAGTTTTATTCCAGCAAAGCCACAAAGCAAAACCAGTGACTTTGGACACTGTTCTTGGTAATGAGTTCTTTCCTTTAGTCCCTTTCAGTTTTCCTCACTCAAGAAATAAACAGAATAAGGTAGTACACTTTCCTTATCTTCCTTGAGATAATTCAAATATTAAGTATGAGCAGAATCCTGAAACTCAAGACTTAGGATTTTACAAGGGCCATAGGACATAGTCATAATGGGTTTTGCTATTTCAGAGACTCAAATATAGCACAGATCGAATTATACCTTCAAAACCCTGTGAGTTACACACACTAAATGCCTGATGTCCAGACAGCAGATTACTAGAGGTTACAGCTCTACCTCCAACACCAGACTATGTGATATGTCTGTAGGTTACCTCATTCTGAGATTATTCTATTATTTCTTGCATTGTATTTAATTTTGCACTATATTTTATCAGCTCACCATAAGTCATATGCATAACTATAGCAAGTAAAGAATTCCAGATAGTTTTGAAGAAAGAAAGAAGGAAAGAAAGAGAGAGAAAGAAAGAAAGAACAAAGAAAGAAAGAAAGAAAGAAAGAAAGAGAGAGAGAGAGAGAGAAAGAAAGAAAGAAAGAAAGAAAGACAGACAGACAGACGTTGTAGTGGCGGGGGGGCAGGTGGGGAAGAGAAAGGGCAAGGGCAAGGGCAAGGGCAAAGGCAGGCAGGCGAGAGATAGATATACCAGCTGAGTCATCCATGATTGTTTCCTGAAGACTGGTCTTTGCAGAGCATGCTGGTGAATTATGCACTGTTTTTTAAACCTCGTCTCATTTCTGGGACCCCCCACTGCACTACAGAGCCTCACAGAATATATTACCTTCTGCACCATCTATGCAGGTTACTGAATCCTTATTTATTATTTATTTAGCATCACCATGACTTAAGAAAATCAGGACAGATACAAAGAATCCCTATTTACCTCCCAAAGATACATAACTAGAATAAGGTGATAATACTAGTAGCAACATTACCAACATCTGAATAGAGGGTTCTTCTTCCCAAAATTGCTATATACGCATGCCTCTATTCAGACTCAAATGTTTTTTTTTCTGCCACAGACTTCGTTGTCAATTTCTCATCATCGTACTCCACCCCATTCTACATTTTTCCCTAAGAAGCTTCAGAACTACGTCTTGCAATATCCCATGGGTCCAGGTTAGACTGCCAATGAGAAACACTCATAGACAATTCCAAAGGCAGAAGTGAAGATACCATTTATTTGCTGTTGGTGGCCATATACAGACATGTGGGCATATAACCCTTAGCCAGCAACTGCCAAGCATTCTCCTGAGAAAGACCTCTTTGGTGGGCAGGCCACAGAGATCATTGGCAGACTCTGACCTTCACCCGCTAGCCCTCTGAATGGTTGCCTTAGCCTCCAATTCTCTGTATTTAAAAATGTCATGCTGGTTGATATACTTGGAAGAGTGTCTGTATTCCAGAATGAACCCTTAGTAAGGCAAACAGTGATCACAACCCTTTTTAATTTTTTCAGAATGAGAGAAGTGAAGCAGCAATAGTTTGGTGACTTGAAAGGCAAAGTATTACTTAGTCAGGGCTGAAATTAATTACCCTATGCTTACATGGACAAAAAGGAAAGGCAAGTCTCACTATAAATGCTGAAAGCGCAGTGATATAAATATTTAACAGATTGCATATTATATCCTGCAAGAAATATTTCCTAGGCTGCTTGTGGCTGATCAAAAACTCCAGGGCTTTCCATACCCAGTGCATGCATTTTCATGCTTTATTCATACAGATATCTGGAGAGAAGCTGCACCTGACAGCTGGACATCCTTCCTTATTAGAGGAGGTTTAAGCAGCTGCTGATCTTCACTACCTCTCTGACTTTCGACAGAGTACCTAACTTTTTGAAATAAACACTGCCCAATGTCTAGCTAACATCTATTCTGCCTTTCTTCTCTTACTAGCAGGACTCTAATTCTGCTCAGGATGACAACGGATGCAATAACAACAACAACAAAAATAGCTGTGTTGCCCAGCTTCCTTTACAACTATGGGATGAGATTTGGGCCAATGACATATAAGAAAAATTTCTTGTTGCACTTGGAATAATCCATTTTAAAAGGGGACAGACGGAACAGCATTTACTTTCTGCCTTTAGTCCAGGGTTTCCCAACACTTTGGGCCGAATAATTTTTGTTGTGGGG